ATAACCATTTTTATTTTATTTTAATATATTTTAAAATGTCATTTATTCCTGTCATAGCAAAGCTGAATTTTCAGCATCATTACTCCGGTCTTATGCGTCACATGATCCTTCAGAAATCATTCTGATATGCTGATTTGCTGCTCAAGAAACATTTCTTATTATTATCAATGTTGAAAACAGTTGCGCTGCTACATTTTTTAGATATTGTTTTACAGGATTCTTGGATAAATTAAAAGTTCAAAAAGAACAGCATTTATATGAAATAGCAAACTATCATAACATTATAAATATCTTTACTGCCACTTTTGATGAATTTAATGAATCCCTGTTGAATAAAAGTATTAATTTCTTTCAAAAAGAAACGTTTTACTGTCTTATTGATCCCAAACTTTTGAATAGTAGTGTATAAATTAAATGAGAAAAATGCAAAATAGAAGCATTTCCACTTGAGGTCTCAGAAACGTATTTGTATATCAGTAGGCTATGCTAAATTGCTTGGCAAGCAACCATAAGTTGCCTACAGTCAATTTAATTATCCTTTGCACATTAGAGTTTTATTGTATTTCGGCTGTCACTGTTTTAGAAAAGAAAAAAGCCACTGTAAGCCAATCTCTACTGTGTTTTTTACCCATGGTTAAAGGGGATTTAAGCACTCGTTTTTACCTAACAACGCACACATTTAACCATGGCATGTTTTCTGTAACACACAGCCTTGAGTGGCTTTCAGTTCTATATTAGTACATGAATGTGATGGAAATTAAAGAATGCATGCTGGTTTGTCATTTTAAGTGAAGATGTAATTGACTGAGATGTAATGACCTTGACTTATTTAAGCTAGTCATTAGGGCTTTTTAATGAGCTCTCACTTTTGAGCTGTACATATTCTTCCCATGACGCCCTGAAATGCCACAGCATATAGCATCACTTCACTTGAAGCCACTGTAAGTGCCTGAACCAGGGGCGTAGCGTTTGGGTATGCAGGGTATGCACGTGCATATGGGCCTGGGTGAATTGGGGGCCCACTATCACAGGCTTAAGCCCAAAGTATATTTCAGCCGTTCCGAGTAAGCGCACCGTCCGCATTGCGTACAGTAATTTTCATCATCAGGAGCATTCACGGACATCCGCACACCCCGTCCACGTACAGCCCAATTTCTGTGACCGCAAGGACAATGCGCGTGCAACAGCGCATACGAGAGTGAATTGAGTGCTTGAAAACAAAAGTCCACTAGATAGTGTGCACGCGCCGAACGCATCCCCTTTCGTGCTCATGGCAAAGGAAAGGCTCGTGCGCGCATCTGTGAGTGAGACAGAGCGAAATTTGCACAGTGATTTATACCCGGGCCTTAAATTTGTGCCGGAACAAGCCAGATCCAGCACCTCATTTAGGGCATGCCCAATCTCATACACCAAACCAATGAAAGATCTTTGTTATGAGCTGTGTTCATATGTTCAGGGAAAGGACTATAATAACAATAATGTTATCAATTATTTGCTATATCCATGTTGAATGCACTTGAAAAAAATTGTTAAGAAGTTGAATAAATGCCGCTAAAAATGGTCCATGCCAGGATCTATTGGATTTGACCGGTATTCGCTTTTCTGTCATTTGTGAAGTGGGTTTCTGAAAATTATGCATGCAGTTTGGCTGTTGAAATAATGTAATACAGTATTTTAAATGGGTTGCATTTAAGCTTATACATAGGCTTTTCTGAAAAATTAGTCTACGTCTGCACATTTTGGGATATTGTACAAGAATAAAATCTCTACATAAAAAATTTAACTCGTACACTCTAAAAAATGCTGGGTTAAATACAACCCAGTGCTGGGTAAAATAGGGACAAACCCAGCAATTGGGTTGTTTTGACC